CTTTCGAATCAAAGCAAATACTAAAATTCAATATCCGTTAAAATCGAAGCAAATCACAAATATTAAAATTTTGGAAAGCGGATATCCGATCCGATCCGTAAATATATAAATATATGTATATTTTGAATATATTTAAAATTTTAATTATATAAAATTATATAATTATTATTTTAGCACATGATTTTGAACAATTCTATTCAAATTATTACTTATATAAAAGTATTACATAAAAAGAGATAAAATATTTTTGACAATTATATATTTTTCTTAAATTTTGTGTTATTATAATTGTACCTTAAACTTTAAAAAATTACAAAATCTATAAATTCACTAGTTCTTTTAAGTTTTATTTTATATATCATGAAAAAAATATTTTTGCAAAGCAAATTTGTATCAAAATCTTAAGATTATTTATACTAATTAAAATGGATGAGATATCCGTAAATATTCGTAAATATCCGCAAATATCTAGTTATTTTCCGGATATCCGTTTTTCCGGATATCCGTATTTTTTCGAAGCAAAGCAAATACCAAAATTAGATATCCGTAACATTCGAAGCAAATCACAAATACCTTAAAAAACCCGGATATCCGATCCGTGCCCACCCCTACCCAAAGGTGGATCAATGAATATAGTTAATAATATGAAAATGATTAGGCATTTATTTTATTATAGTTGATAGTATTTATACCCAAAGGTAAGATGTTATTGACTTGAATTTTAAAATGATTAATCATTAAAATGTATTGTAGCATCACTAAAAGTTTTTGTGTTTAAGTATTGCTCAAAGGTTGCTTAAATACAAACTTGAAAGTTTATATTAAGTTTAGAATCTGTAGTAAAGTTTCAAGGGGAAATTGTTTTTTTAGCCCAAAATCATTAGGAAGTTGTCCCCTTAGACTAAATTGTATTTTGTCTCATTTTTTACTCTAATGCCCTTTATCATTTCTGAAAATTAATAAAATAAATAGATTGATGAAGAAAAAAATATTTAAAAATAGTATCTAATGATGAAATAATTATATCAATATAGTGGTGTTTTTTACAGTTTTAAAAATGTGTAAATGACAATTTCATATTTTATTCTACGGATATTAGAATCCATGTACTACAGATTAGAATCTCAAATCTACTTTTTCCATAATTTCTATTTTTCTCAGAATACGTGTTCTACGGAAGTAATAGTATTCTAAAACATATTGGAATACACATTCCGCAGTTAACATAGCCTTCTAATATCTGTAGAAACCATAATCTAAACATTACGATAAATCTAAAAAAAGTAGAAATCATAATCTACACATTGCTAACATTCTAATACATGTAGAAACTGATTTCAAACATGTTTACCGAGTTCTACCTTTAATAGAATATGTATTCTACAGATAAAGTTAATCACATCCGAAAATATAGGAATAAAATATTTGAAAATATTCACTTTCCATATTTTTAATAGAGATTTTTTTTTAAAAAGAAAAATCTGTTTTCAGAAAAAGGAACAAAATCATGCCAAATCTCTCTCAATTTTTTTTCTCACGTCTCTTTTCCATTCTTCCTAATAAAATATATTATTATTATTTTCTAATTTTAATTACGAATTAATAAACATTTTTTATTTATTTTATTTATTTTTTTTATTTTATTTATTTTTAATATAACTTTTTCATTAAACCTAATAAAAAATATTATTATTATTTTCTAATTTTAATTACGAGTTAATAAACTGCTTTTGTAATTTTAATTTTTTTTTAATTTTTAATATATTTTTTTTCATTAAACCTAATAAAATATATTATTATTATTTTCTAATTTTAATTCCGAATTACTGAACTTTTTTATTTAAAAAAAAATTAATATACTTTTTCATTTAACCTAATAAAATATTTTATTATTAGTTTCTAATTTTAATTACGAATTAATAAACTGTTTTAAGGATATTATTGTCATTTAGATAAACATTAATCTAATGGGACAATAACTAAATGAGATTAGTGAAGGGGACAACTTCCTAATGATTTTGGGTTAAAAAAACTATTTTCTCAAGTTTTTTTCTGTGTGCAGAAAAAAAAGGGGAAACTGTTTTTTAGACCAAATAGATTTGGACATTGTCCCTTTAGTCTAAATTATATTTTGTACCAATTTTGACTTTAATACCCTTTATTTATTTCTGAAATTATTAAAAAAATAGATTTATGAAGCAATTTTTTTTTAAAAAAATAGTACATAGTGATAGAAACCCCTATATCTATATAGTAATATTTTTTCCTGTTTTAAAAATATGTAAATAATAATTTCATATATTATTCTACCGAAATTAGAATCCGTATACTACGGATTAGAATACGGAATCCACTTTTTTCACTATTTCTACGAACTGTAGAATATGTTTTCTACGAAGATAACACGAATCTAAAATAGTTTGGAATACACATTCCACACATATCATAGAGTTCTAATAAAAGTAGAAATTGAAATCTAAACTTTTACTTAAATCTAAAACTAGTAGAAATCAGAATCTACATTCTCACAACGTTCTAATACATGTAGAAACTGATTTCATATCTTTTTACACAGTTCTACCTTTAGTAGAATCTGAATTCTACAGATAAATATTATTAGATCCGAAAATATAGCAAGAATATATTAGGAAATATTCGGTTTCCATATTTAAAATTCAATTTTTTTTAAAAAAAATATTTATTATATATTTTTTTTAAAAAAATTACTGTGGACGAGGTGTAAATATGGAAACCAATCCGAATTTTTTTTTTAAATCTGATGGAGTATTACTGTGGACTAGGTGTATAATTTTAGTTTATTAAATTTAAATTTTTTATAAAAAAAATTATTAAAAATTTTTTTTTTTATAAAAATTAGTATATTTACACCCATCCGAAAATATAGCAAGGATATTAAATTTTATTTTTATTTTATCCTTTTAGAATAATATTATATTTTAATATTTATTAAAAAATAAATTTCAATTTTTTATAATTATAATTAACCTAATTACGAATTAATAACTAAAACTATATAATTTAAGGGTAGGATTGTCATTTAGAAAATATTTAGCCTAATGAGACAATAAATAAATCAAATTAACCTAAGGGAACAATGTCCAAAGCTATTTGGCTTAAAAAAACTATTTTCTCGAAAAAAAAGACTCAGGATTTGGTTTCTCAAACCTCAAACAAAGCACAGAGTATCCTTTATCCATATTTGCTGCAAGCACAGTATCCTCTATCCATATTTGCTGCCATATGAACAGCTTCTGAGTAGAAAGGAAACTGACCACCAATAAAGATAAGTGCCCTGCACTTTAGTTTCTTCAATTCACTTGAGATGTCAGGTCTCCTAAAGAGAAAATGTTTGGTTTTCGTTCATTAAAGAAATCAATATTTGACGCCATGAATCTAAAACAAAATATATGGGGCGTTCCGAGAATCGAACTCGGGACCTCTCGCACCCAAAGCGAGAATCATACCACTAGACCAAACGCCCACATTGATCAAAGACTAAACTTATCTATAAAAACCAGTGATAATCGACATTCTTGGAAAAGAGGGAAGGCTAAATCTTTAATTTCCATCTTCACAGATTCTAGGGTCTTTGAAGATGGTTCTATATCAAGTAAATGCGAAGTCATAGGGGTGAATCTGGACCTAGCATTATGCCTCTTGCAATCATTGGAGGCAATTGCATATCCTATGTTTCTTGTTCAGTAATAAAACCGATAAACCAGATTGTTTTATTCACTTTAAAAGAAAAAAACACACAGAAACTAAATACTTGGTTGAGTTTACCGGCTGCACCACTAACCAGAACCCTAATAGGTTCTTTCTCAATATTTAACATATTGCACATTTATATTATCATCTTCCATGACAAAGCAACACAAAAAAAATTAACTAAACTTTTCTGAATCACAAAAGTATAATCAACTTCTTCCAATTTATTTTACGTGTAAAAAATATAATCAAGCAACGAATGGGTGTGCCGGGTCAGCCTTAGCCTAGTGGCTAAGTGGTACCCAAGGCACCGGGGTTCGACTCCGCCTTCAGGGATTCTTGGGTGAGATTTCCCCACGTGACAAAAAAAAAAAAAAAAAAAAAAACAGCAACGAATGGGTGTTCATGTTTCAAAATTTTTATAAAGCTAAGAAGAGAAAAAAGGAATCTACAAGAAACTTATAAGAGGACATACATACCTTATACTTACACAACTTTGTCTTACGTAAACCCAGGACCGGCTTTAGGGTTGTGCTGGCAGTGACAGGGCCCAGTAATTTTGGTCTTAAATTTCCTTAAGATTTAGGGTCTAAATTTTTTTGAAATATATCATTATCAACAGATATACATACAGAACTGATGAAAATATGCAGAGTTACATACGTAGCATTGGAAAAGAAGAAGAAATAATCCCATAAAGTTCAGTCGACAACTTTTAACACGTCAATGTTTTACCTTTTAATTGTTTTATCATTATTTTAAACAATTTGTAAAGATTAATTTTAACATATGGCACGGGGTCCACAGAAGTCTTGAGCCGGAACCTTAGTCATACAAGGAAGACAGTTGAAAGAAACATTGCCGACTAGACACTAATCCCTCAAACTTTTCTTTGTTTATGATGAAAAATTCACTATTCAAAGATGGATAGATAATCCGGTTTGTCATTTGACTCGGACTTAATTGGGCCTTATATGGGCGATACAATTCTCATCGATAATGGCCCAACAAAGCCCAATTCAATCATCTAGGGTTAATTCAGTGTCGCATATATATGCTTACTTCTCCGCCGTCGTCGCCTTTCTGTTCTCTTGACGTTCTTCAAGCCCAAAGGTACTCTCTTTCACTTTCTTCTTACCTCAACTCTACGTCCCTTGATATGGCAGTGAATCGATCTGTTTAATTTCCGACAAGAGAATCTAGTTTCTAAATGTTCTTTGGTTATGGATAAACGCAGGTAAGAAAGAGTACAAATCACAGAGAAAGATAAGATGTCTGAGAAGAAGGGAAGGAAAGAGGAAGTGGTGACCAGAGAGTACACCATCAACCTCCACAGACGCCTCCACAGCTGGTTAGCTTTCTATAAACCTTACTGTTCATGTTTTAGCTGCTTTGATTGTTCAGCTTCTTAGTGTTGTAATGAGATTCAGTCTCTTCCTGTCGTGTTCTAGTACGAAGCTTCTTAGATTTATTGTGTGTTATTTGACCAATTGTCTACAGATTATCTTTTTCTAAATGTAATCAATCGTTAAGCCTTTAAATTATTTTTTTTTTTAAAAAAAATCGTGGAATAATTGAACTCATAGGGAAGTGTTAATTACCTTTCATTTCAGTTTTGTCGAAACATTTCATTTCTTGTTATACTAAATATTAGTAACAGAGACTTACCACCCAAGTTAAGATTAGGTCTTGTATTATGATGTTTAATTGCTACTTGTAATGACTTTTGTTTACTTATAACAGTACCTTTAAGAAGAAGGCACCAAAGGCCATTAAGGAGATCAGGAAGTTCGCAGAGAAAGCCATGGGGACGAAGGACGTTAGGGTAGACGTGAAGTTGAACAAGCAGATATGGAGCAGAGGAATCAGAGGTCCTCCAAGGAGGATTAGGGTCCGTGTTGCTCGTAAGAGAAACGACGACGAAGACGCAAAGGAAGAGTTTTTCTCACTTGTCACTGTTGCTGAGATCCCTGCTGAAGGACTCAGTGGACTTGGCACTAAGGTCATCGACGAGGAGGATTGAGTGTCTGTCACTAAGACAAGTTTTGTTGGTCTTTTTTAAATTCCTTGTTGTTTTTCATTTAAAGAGTCTTCGTTTTTTCTTTGTAGTATGACGTTGCATTGCCTGATGCAGTTTATTGGAAAGACTCATTTTCTTCGTCTAAGACCTTGATATATGTTCTTGTCTTCTGCATTTTACTTCAGTCTTGCTAATAATCAAGGTGTATACGAGTTGCTTATGCATACTAATCTGCCTAAGGTAAGCTTCGGTTTGAAATGAATTTATATACGATTTCTTATCAGGCTAAGAATCTCATTTATATGTGAAATGAGTTATAATTATATGTTATCCAACATTAGACAAGTCCGAATCCCAATTTCCTAGTCAGCTTCTAACCACGAAACGATAACGATTTGCAAATGAAAATTATATGCGGCTTCTTATGAACATCAACAACCAAACAGAAGAGGCTAAATGCTAAGAATATTGTATGGTTTGTATCTGTGAACTAAATGGTACAAATGGACGTAGGCCTAGAACTAATTAAAGTTTTGTGTTTTTTGTGCTACCCTTATTGCTTCGTTTTCAAATACCAGAACAGGAAGCAAAAAACGTCGACAGCAGGATTCGAACCTGCGCGGGCAAAGCCCAATTGATTTCGAGTCAATCTCCTTAACCACTCGGACATATCGACTGTTGTTGACTATCAAATCATTTGAACAATTACTAACAAAAATGTCTTCAAATCCCAGAATATTTCCAAATAACATTGATTCTGTGGTACTGCTTACGGCCCACGATTCGCTAAATCTTAATCAATAATACAAAACAATAATTCTGCTTTCTGTAGTCTCTGTCACATGAAAGCGAGTATAGAAATTAGGAAGCAGATATCCTCAAACGTAAAAATAAAACTCAAAACTGGAATAACTACAAATTTACTCATGGAAAAAAAAACAGGAACAAAAATGTATTACAATAGATACATCGTTTCATAAATTGACAAAACATCTTCAAAATTGACATAACAGATTATCAAAGGACTTATGATGATTATGGGCCTTATAACCTCATACATATAAAAAAAAACCTTTAAAAATGTTATTCACAACAAGGCCCAAAAACCTTTGTTGTCACGGTATATAAATACATATCATCATCACCAAAACCCTAAATCTGAGATCACGCACTCCTATCAGCTTATTGCAGCCGTCGGAAGAAAATAGCAAATTGACGCAAAACAGCCATGGGTAACCCAATCCTCAGAGCTTTATGCATTTCTAGTGAAAATTCAAATCGATTGATCTGTTAACAAGTGAGTGTTTGTTGATCTCAGGGAAAGTTCACGGATCTTTGGCACGTGCCGGTAAGGTGAGAGGACAGACACCAAAGGTAGCAAAGCAAGACAAGAAGAAGAAACCTAGAGGCCGTGCTCACAAGCGTCTCCAGCACAATCGCCGTTTCGTTACCGCCGGTACTTATTCCGATCCATGTTAAAATTACTTGGCTGATTTTATTACAAGATAGCTAAGAGGTGTTTCAACTTGTGTTTAATTGCAACATGTAATACAATGAATTATGTTTGGTAATGTATTTTTTTTTTTTTGCAGTTGTTGGTTTCGGTAAGAAGAGAGGACCCAACTCTTCTGAGAAATAGAAGAAGATGAGAGCTTCTCATATTGGCTATTTTGTGCATTTCTTTTTGTTTGTTTTTTAGTCATGTTTTATTTGCACTGAACCTATATATGTTTTGATTCTATGCTATGAATTACGACTTTACTCCTGAATCTGATTCTCAGTTTCCGACAGTAATAGTTTGATGTCGTCTGCAAGTCTTACACCAACCATTGGTTTTATCGTTTAGTTTGAATTCTAAAACCGATAACGCGATAAGGGTTTTATTGGTATTGGTTGTATAATTCCATGTCGTTCACAGTTGGTGCTAGATTATGTTGCTGGCTTGGTAGTAACCTAGAATCCAAATATGTAAATGGTAGTAACCTAGAATCCAAATATGTAAAAAAAAAAATGCTTTGGTTTTAGAGAAATGTAGAATGAAAAACCTGAAAATCTTAACAAGTGCCAATCTTGAATCATATCACCTCTTTTAGTTTTTGTTGAAGCTGAGAAATTATCCGTTAAGTCTCGGAGAGTTGCTCCAATTGACTGAAGCAGCAGTCTACTGAATCTGAGACTAGGCTAAATGCTTCATGACTCTTTCTGTGGAAGTAGAACACGAAATCCATAGCCTCCAATCGAACCGTGGATCATAAAAGAACGTTCCAGATCTATTGCAGTTTGGTTTCGAAACTGTGGGAAACAATTATATTCATTTAATACAATAAGACACACAGCAACTTGATGATAAAGACTTACTTCTGCGTTAGGCTATGCATGTAGGTCTATCTCAATCGTCATTACAGACTTCGTTCTTTCTTGTATTCACATTCTTCAGGACATTGCATGTATCGGAGTGTGAGGGTTATTATTACAATACACTTTGGCTGCCTCGAGCCATGATCCTAATTTATCGTGTTCTTCACATTGTTTTGAAATTGTCAATTACATTACATCTAAATAAAATAAAATATACACCCCTCTCCCAAATGTTGGTCAGATTTATCATAGGGGAATTTTATTCGTTTTAGAATCAAGTAAGAGAAAGATCATATAATATAATTCATTCAAATCGAGGAACAGAGTAGCATCCTCAACCCTAGCACTACAAATGGGATGCTTATTTTTTCTGTTATTATCTTTTTTTGTTTACTTTTTTTTATTAAAAAAAAATCTCAAACCAATCGCGGATCACCACGTGTCAGTAGGACCCACAAACCAACTAACCATTTGGGGTGCTTGATTAAGCACTTATGGAAAGGGTGTTTGCAGAACCTACTGCCAAAAAACATTAAGCACTCCCTTAAGCATCCCCATTGATAATGCTCTTAATATACATAGTCCCTAGATTAAAGCAGTTAAGCTCCATACCTCCAAACCAAATCTATTGAGGTTGATTTGTGAATCCTAGTTTAAAAATTTTCTGATTAAAAATTTATATAATTGGTTTTTGTCTTTATTTAAAGTATGTTTTGGTATAAAATCAATAATCCAAATTTGTGGTAATAGATTGTTTTGCATTAGTTTTTAGTTTCGGTTTTTTTTTTTTTTTAGATTTGGTTTTTGTTTTCTAGTTTTTTAGTTTCTATTTTAAACTTTCAGTTTTTGGTTTTGGTTTTTAGTTTTTAGATCCGCTGAGTTAGTTTAAACTGATATTACCAACAAATAAATTCCAAATAATCTAACATCTAATTTAAAATTAAAAAGATGACAATTTTTTTTTCAAAAAAATTAATAGTTTATTTTGTAAATAAAAAAAAGTAAAAATATAACCCGCGTTTTCAGCTTTTAGTTTTTAGATTTGATTTTTGGTTTTGCTTTACATTTATTCATTTTTTTAAAAAAACCAGTAAATTATTTAAGAAAAATAAAACAATAAATTATTGAAAAGTTACAATCGAAATTTATCAAAACAGAGTGATTGTTATTTAAAAAATATAAATACATTAACATGTTTTAAAGTACATGATTTAAATAAGTGATTAATAATAGACAATTTTGTTTGTTAAAAATATTAAACACCTTCGGAACTGAAAATAGTAATTGATTTTTTATACATAAGGTGGAAAGTTTATTCAATATTTTTTGGAGTTTCTTCTTCATACGAAGCCCAAAAACCAAACCATATATTTTTTCCTAAAAATAAAAGTAAGCCTAAGACTCTATCCCATAGATAACCGGCGTTTTTTTCATTTAGTTTACACATATTAATCGTGTTGGTTTAATTTAAGTAATGCGGTTCAATCAACTATATGACATGTATTATTTGTAACACTCTAGAAAGGTCCAAATTTAAATGACAACTTGTATCAGTAGATAAAAAGAAAGATTGTATTTTAATAGAGTAGATTTTAAGCCTACAATGGATTTTTATCATTTGGCGTAGTGAAAACTAGTTTACACTAGTTGCATACCCCCTGCGCAAGCGCAGAGCCAGGATATTGATGTTTTTATGTGTTCTTTTTGGTTGTTAGTGGGTTTTTATAATAATACCAAATAATGATGAAATGAAAAGAATATAGCAAGAGTGTAAAGTGAAAATCTTGTATATATAATGTGTTAAATGTTATTTATATGCGAAGTAAGGTTTATATGAATAATTAAACTATAATATAGTTTCTAGTGTGTAAAAATAGGTGTCTATCTTGTTTTTTATTTTTTATGCTGTAAATAGTTTTTATATCGAAGGTCAAACTTGATATAATTATTTATTTATAGTATCCATATTTGTACTAAATGATTTATCAATTGAAAAATAACTTTAATTTAAGCTAATATTTATTGTTTGGGTTTCATTAGATAGGTTTGTATATGTTTTTTTTTGTAAGTTTGGGTTTTGTTCATGAATAATGTGGCATTTTTATTACGGCGTCATCGACTGTGGGAATCCATTCGCCGGAGTCTGATAAAAATGAAATTATAGTAACTATTAAAAATGTAAGAAAAATTAAATATTTATTTTATACATAACAAAAAAAACTTAAATTTTGTTGTTTTTTATTTTATTTCACATATATAATTTTTTGAAAATATATATTAGGAAATATCTTCTAATAGAAAATCCCTATATATATTAAAAGAGAAGTACATTTGCCAGGTGGCACTCACACAGCCATTCTCAGAAGAATTCTAGCGATTCTATTGGTTGATTTTTTAGAATTTATTTTTTTATTTATTTTTACCATCGACACTACTAAAAAGGAAATTCATTTAAATACTTACCTTTTGTGTTTTCTCGATTCAAAGAACATCATTTTGCGATCCTTTCTCTGTTTAATTCATTAAATACTCATTAAATATTTTAGATGTCAGAGAAACAAAATTAATTGACAAGATATTTTCACTCTTAAAATCATGCATTTAAAACAAAATTAATTGATAAGATATTTTCTCTCCTAAAATCATGCATTTAAAACTTACACCAAAATTTTGGTGCAATCTATTCACGAGATGAACTCCTTTAACTTTATCAACAAGATATTCCAAAATAATATTACCTTAAAAGTATAAGATTTATTGAGAATTTATTAGAGAATATGTTATTTCTTAGCTTATCATGCAAGCTAAATCATTGAGAAACGTCCATCAAGTTACTATAAATAAGACATTCACAGTATAATAAATGAAATCATTGAACTTTGTATTCTGAAATTTTTATGTTAATAATGTTCTAAACTTTTTTTTCTTCTTATTTTAGAACATTAAGCTTTTATATTTCATGAGAGCTGATTTTTATTTTGGTTTATATGCAGGTATCCTATTATGACGATTTCTCCACTGAAGCTATATATGATTTGATTGTACACCTCTTTGGTATATCATTTCGATAACATCTTTGTTTCTCAATATGGTGAAACAAAATTCTCTATTTGATAACATCTCTCAGCTTTATCATTTCAATAGCATCTTTTTGTGCTGCCAATACTTTTTTTTTATTAGTAGTTTTATATTATTGTTTAGAATTATAAGCTTATATATAAATATATATTTCTTTGGTTTGCTGATTGTGATTTTGTTTTATGATCTTTTTAATGAAAATTGATATATTTTTTTGTTTTGCAATTATATGATTTTTTTAATTAAAAGTAAATATATATATATAGTAATATTTATTAATCAAAAATTTATATCAACTACTTTTTATATTTATTATTTCGTTATTATATATCACTTAATATTTAAATATCAATAGTTTAAATGTAATTTACCTTAATTGTTTTAGTTTATTAATAATCTACCTTATTTTGAACACATATTACTTGTGCAACTTCAAATTATATTTATTCATTGTTTTAATGCAATTCACCTTAATGTTTCTAATTTGTTAATCGTCTTTATAAACTTATTTTGAACACATAGTACTTGTGCAACTTCAAATCATATTTATTATGCAATTTACCTTAATGTTTCTAATTTGTTAATTCATTTTTAAAAACTTACCTTATTTTGAATATGATTTAATTGCACAAGTTTATAACAAATTAATTGTAAATCATTTAATGACAATATAACTTTAATATCTTTCTTTGAACTGTTTCATTATTTATTATGAAATTATATTCCTAAACATCATTTGTTATGAAAATATATCTCTAATAACATAAGAAAAAAAGAAGGTAGAGTATATATAAATGAGACACCTAAGGGACGTCAATACTAACTTATTAGTTTATTTTTCTTCGATAAAAAAATTTAAATTCATAAATTCTTACATTTGTTTTTTTTTCTATTAACAGATAAATAACACAGACGAAAGACCGGTTGTAGTTAACTACAAACCATTTTTCAGTTTGTTTCAATAGCGATATGCAAATTTAATATTATTTTATTATTTTTGTGTCAATAAAATTTAGAAATCTATTAAATTATTTTATATTGTACAGTTGCTAACAAAATTTGACAATTTTTTTGCAGGTTTCTATGGGATATTTTAATTCATAACTGTTCTTCTTATTTTATATTACTTATTTAATTCACAAGATTGATTGGTAATAATTAAGAATGATTTATGTTAACGCATTAGATTCAGAACATCTATATAGCAATAAAAAGAATGTAATAAATAATACGAATATATTATTTGATACTAACTTATCGTGCAACCATATCAACACTGTTATATATATCTTACATTTTCTTATGGTTTACATTTTAAGTTGTTTATTTTCTTTAAAGCTTAATCTAATGACGTTTTTTAGAAAAAAATAACTTCTGTGCCTGTGTACTTCAAAAAAACTAACAAAATATGAATGTCTATTTTGAGAATCTAAAACAGAGATATGGAAAAAAATAACTTCTTCTGTTATCTGCAAGGACTATGATGAAGAAAATATTGAAGTTATTAAAGAAGCATGTTATTAGGCATCAACAAAGGATCTACTCAAG